AGTAGTCATCAGTGCAACAGCCTACTACCACATCCATGATACCACAGTAGTCAATAGTGCAACAGCCTACTGCCACATCCATGATACCACAGTAGTCATCAGTGGAACAGCCTACTACCACATCCATGATACCACAGTAGTCATCAGTGCAACAGTCTACTACCACATCCGCGATACCACGGTAGTCATCAGTGCAGCAGCCTACTACCCCATCCACGATACCACGGTAGTCATCAGTGCAACAGCCTACTACCACATCCATGATACCACAGAAGTCATCAGTGCAACAGCCTACTACCACATCCATGATACCACAGTAGTCATCAGTGCAACAGCCTACTACCACAACCGTGATACCACAGTAGTCAATAGTGCAACAGTTTACTACCACATCCATGATACCACAGTAGTCAACAGAGCAACAGCCTTTTACCACATACATGATACCACAGTAGTCATCAGTGCAACTGCCTGCGAGCACTTGTTGTGCACATGGCCTCGGATGATGACATCCTTCCAAGTGAAAAGCCCAATAAACCCTAAAACCCTAATAAAGGTGACAGGTTGAAGCTCTAATACAGGCTGGTCACGAACCACCAATCTGACGTTAAACTTTGAGGATTCTATAGACACCACCTGATTGCCTTAAGTGCACTTTTCAGCCGCTATTGTCCTGATTAGGGTTTAAGGGGTTTAGGGTCTAGGGGGGTTTCTATACATTTTTACATAGCCTGCTAATGTAATTATTTTACGAGGTTACGATTTTTAGGGGGTTTCAAGGCGTCGACATAAGGACATAAGGCCCACACACACGCTACACAATATACATCCACACCCAATGACTAACAAATAACAAACAAATAAAAACTCTGGTCAGAACAAGACACGTCCCTTCGCCGTGACACTCACCTGAGAGCACCGGAACAGCACAACACGACGTGATCATGTTACCAACCAGAAACAACGCCAGCACCTGATCCGCAATCTCCAGACACGCCAACACAATCAACGGGATGTTAAGCACCAGCACCAGGATACGCGCGTACTTGATGTCCTTTCCATTCAGGAACGTCGACACAACCACCGACGTCAGTCCGTTCTGAAAGCTATCCACAGCCGACTCGCTCATAATAGCTGCGGCGATGAGGGTTACCAAGCCGGCCCAGTTGTTAAGGGTAGTGCTGGTGCCTCCGGTGAAGAGGGTGAACCAGTAGAGATTGGGATTGGTTTCCATGGTGATGTAGCCGGCCCTGTGTATAAAGTCAGATTAAAGATGAGGTATATGGGTAAAGCAGGTGGACTATCGGCATAGTTTGCATCAATACACCACATGCGTCCTCGTACAGTGATGTATTAAATACTGCATATTAACCATCAGCATAGCTTTCTTGGAAGATGACTATATATATATATATATATATACAAATATATATATATATATATATATATACATAACATATACACATAAACATACCTACATACCTACATATATATATAATGCACAATAACATACTTATATACAATACATATATGCAGACACATTCATATATACAATATATATATATAATTATATAATACTATATATTTAAAATATCATAATAATCTATAGGCATTTACATCATACTATTGAAAAATAAAATAATATACATACTTTATAATAATTATTATATATATCATAACATATAGATTGATTCATATATATATATATATATGCATACACACTTAGTCACACACAGACACACATAAACACACATATATAATATATACATATATACATATAATATATATATATATTCTCGACTAAACTTACCATGCCGCCAGCCAGCCTCCAAATCCAAACAAGAAAGTCACGCAGCCGACAGCCACAGAGGCTACACTAGCGCCAAACATGAGCGAAGCTTTGTTCTCCGACGCCCACACACGCTGCCACATAGCCTCGTTAAACACCGTCGCTGCCATCATTGACACAGGCATGGCCAGAATAGACGAGTACCCGTAGTAGGTGGTGCCGATCTGATCACTGGTCAGGGGTGTGGGCAAGTCCTCCCGGAAGTCTACAGCCAGGTACACAACCAGCACAACCATCAGCACCATACTGGCAATTGCCTGGATACGATCCGTGACAATAGACACGTGCAAGCCTCCTAGGGTGGTGTAGAACACTGTAAGCACTCCGATAGTGATGATCACGGGTAGGTTGGTTGACCCTACGTAGTCTTTGAACAAGGAGCCGGTGGTGGTGTATTCGGCCAGTAGGGCAAGTCCCATGTTGAACATGCCTATGAGGATGACCATCGTCTTGGCTACATAGCCAAAGCGCCAGCCGATAAAGTGGTGGAAACTCATGGCGTGGGGTAGCCGACTAACCACGCCGTTGCCAAACACGGCTAAGAAGAAGATAGGGAAGCCAGCAGAGATAGCGTACATGGTGCAGCCAATCAGACCCGAATACGAGGCGTAGTTGGCTGGCCCCGTAACCACCCACGACCCCACGGCCCCTGCGTAGAAGCTGAAGGCAATGCGCCATTTTCCAACCGACCCACGGGCTGTGATGAAGTTCTCGGTGTCCAGAGTTTCTTTGCGCTGCTGCATGACGGAGATGACCACCGCATAGACCGCAAACAGGATCAGGCACGGGAAGACCGTGCCATAGGCCAAGGCAATCCAGTCAGTCATGTCGGAGGTGGGGTTGGAGGTAGTATGAGCGCAGGAAACAGTACAGTACGGCGCGAGAGATGGCACAATTTCAAACTAGTATGTGTGTGTGGGGGGGGAACGCGTTCATCCTGCGTACTATACTGTGGGTGGAGCTGTTCAATTTACAAGGCTAAGGTGGAGCCTAAAATGTATACCATTTCTGATTTCACAATATTTGCTTTGTTTTAACACAGAAAAATAAGATAAACTAATAATAACGATGGAATCAGGCGTCGGACTGTGGAATAAACGTTAAAATCAGTTGTGTATTTAATCAGATGAGCCAACCAACCCATAGCCTTCTGAAAATTAGACACAGAAGGCTAGGAGCAATTGCAACCCAATTGGCAATTGAGAATATATTTTTTAGTTTGAGGATGTTTGCGAGCGTTGATTGATTGAGATTTATTGCAAAGCACGAGGGTGGGTATTTTATATTTTTTTTTATAGGTTTTGTTACTGAACAATAATTCATAGAACTCCCAATTCCCAAATATTTAGTGAAATAATTTTTATTGTTATAGATTTTTTATTTAAATGGCTACGGCGGTATTATATGGCCTATGGAACAGGCGGCTATGCATGTCTTCAGTCTTATAGTTATACATAGCCTTTTTTTTTTAATGACATATATTTTTATTTGACTAATTTTAACTTCTATATTTATTTTTATTTGTACATTGTTCAGACTTCAGCGTTCACTAAATAAATACAAACTGAAATATGTGTGGACTGTGGAGAGAGGAGTTGCGTCAGTTCAGAATTTGTTTTGTTTAATTTTATTAAAATATGTAGACGCTCTCATCAGATTTTAGGAAGTTCAGTCGCAGGCCTCAGCAAGTGTTCAATGTAGAAAGCTATGCAAAAGTGTGCAATGCTCCGCGGCTTCTCAATTTCTAACAAGTGGCAATTAGCAGGTCGGTCACCACAAACCAGGATTCACGCTAGGAAGACACAGCACAATTGATGTCTAGTTTATAAAATTTACAATACGAACACTTCCTCTTGTACCTATATTGTGAACGTGCACTTTGAGCCGGTGGGGCCATTACTATCAGTACTCGAGCCTCAGCAATGTCAGCGGAGGGGTTTTTTTTCCTGGAACTGGATGTATATAGACTGCAGTACTTTTAATACAACATGGTTGCGTTAAACGTGCATGGATCAATACACACTACAGTACTATTAATACAATTTTGGATGTCGCACGTTGCTATGGTTGCGTTAAACGTGAATGGATCACTCGTTGCACATTTTAATATGTGCGAAGCATATGATATCCACTCCACATTGGCAAAACGTAAACAGCATGTATACTTTGACACGTACACGCCTCGATGGCACCACTGGCGGATTCTACTAGCAAGACAAACCATATCACTCATTCAGTTGCCCAAGAATTGTGCTCTATGCAGTCAAGTTGATCCTTGTTTTATTGTTTGTTCTACAAACGGCTTTTGATCGACAGGAGCTTGAAATGCAAGTTACAAAATCAAGATGGAGAAGGTGACTAAACAATATGAAATAGATACTAGCAATCTGCAACCTAAGTAATAGACTGACCTAGTGACAGTTGAAGACATTGGGCAACGTTACCTATTGCATCTCAGTTACCGAGACACTCACATTCCACAGATACGAAGTTCAGATGATGTGGTAGGATAGTTGACGACTCAATATTATTAAAACTAAACTAAAACTAGAATGTGTCGCATGAATTAGCCTCGATACACCTCAGGCACTGTTGTGAAATAAAGAACACGCATCACAGTGCAGGTCGATGTCTAGATACCTGTATGTGTCCACAGATTCACGCACGTGTGTGTGACAACAAATAGCTACATTATATGGACTCCAAACATGCACAATAAAAGACAGAGTAGAGAATAGGTAATATATAAATATCCAACATACAGCAAGCACTGGTACTGATGTGTGCACTACGTTCCCTGAAAAAGAACACATAAACATAACCGAAAGTAACTTCATATAGCCACTTTGTTGCCACATACAGCTACTACCACATAACAAGACACAAAGAGTATTAGACATACCTCAGGCCTCCAGACACAAGAGTACATGCACACCTACAGCAGAACACCCAGACGACAGATTATATACAAACATCCAACAATGTACATACAGTATCACCACGTGCACACGAATGCATGCGTCCGTCTCTACGCAGGACTACGCCATCAATAGCAGATACGATCACTATACACATGCAAATAACACAAGAATATGTGCAATTATCACAGTGCGAAATACACTTATTACGTATATATATATATACATTAATACCGATATATACCTAGTTGGCTGGCAAATATATATTGGCCTGAGTGATCAGAAACTTGAGCTTGTCGCGCCCATCATACAACTATGCACAGCCCTCCATCAGACTCATATGCACAACACACATCACTCAGAAAAACAAGGCACCATCTAGTCCCCACTGAAGAGTGTCAGGTACACAGAGACAACACACGCACATATGGACTTACATGCACGAACACAGCCACAGAGACATTCACGCATATAGATGGGATAACAAACACAGCACTACCCACACTCATACATACACAGCACCTATCCACGATACATCTCAGACACAGGCAGAGATAGTGATAAGCACGCACCATCTGGTATATATATATATACATACATATGTATATATATTTGTGACTTTCCTTCGCAACAATTATGTTGATTCAGGTTCAACGGGTATGATCTCAGCATAGAATTGGTTGACCAATTCGAGCACCCCGAGCCAGTGTTAAAACAATAAATAACCTTTATGAGCCTAAGTAAGGTAAAGGCAAGCACGTGTACTATCACCTGCACATGCCCACCATTGCGAGAGAGACACACAGAATGCCAAACCACAGCAACACAGTAGACACACCCGCAGCGAGCACGCTTCTAACCTCATGGCATCACCATACGCACATCGACGACAACTGCATAGGCAACTGAGCAGCACACGGCAGAGGCACGCCCTTTTGCTGCCAACCTCGTTGGTTGGCCACCTCACACCCGTCGCTATCATCCACACAGACAGACAGCACATAGTCGCCTCTCTCTGATGAAAGACACACCTGCGGCCGTGTCCTCTCCACCGACACGTGTTACAGACAAAACCACACACACAGCATGGGTCACTACTCGACTGCGCTGCCGGTAGGCTCGGCTTTAGACAGGTTAGTCACAGACACGGCTGATACTTGGTTGGTGGTTTCCTGGTCTTTGGGCACCTTCACCTTCTCTGCCTTGTCCGGTGACGCCCGCCTTGTTTGGTGGTATGCCGTCGGAAAGGCTCTCTACTTCAACGTCACACCGCACCACTTCAGGCAACTTCCAACCACACAGGGTAGCACACGCACGCAGAGCACATCCTGATAAGGAAAGAGATGGGCACACAGAGTAAGCAATCTCCTGATAAGGAAAGAGATGGGCACACAGAGTACGCAATATCCTGAAAAGGAAAGAGATAGGCACACAGAGTACGCAATATCCTGAAAAGGAAAGAGATAGGCACACAGAGTACGCAATATCCTGAAAAGGAAAGAGATAGGCACACAGAGTACGCAATATCCTGAAAAGGAAAGAGATAAGCACACACACACAGAGCGAGTAATATGCTACTACTGGGCTCTAATTTGTTTCGGGCCATGTACTCTAGACGAGATGGCTAGAACTAAGCTAAAAAAAATAGAAGAACACTACATATATATATATACATACACATAAAAGGCAAGAATATAGTACATAAAAGACAAGACTAGTACATAAAAAGATAAGACAATAATATATAAAAGCAAGACTATGATACATAAAGTAAGTAATGAAACGTAGTAGCCAAGTACGGCGCTACATACCCAAGACAAGTCCTCCTACGGATGTGCCCACTGCCATCGCAAAGTAGTCCCAAGCGTACATGTTGCCGTACCAAGCATACACAAACCCATCCCAGAAGGAGCCAGGGGTGTTAGCTACACCATAGATGGTTACAGACGCACCGGCAAACAGCATCGCAAACACCACCCCAAACTCGGTGATGTACCGCTCCACACGGTCATAGCGGACCAGACCTGCCAGTGAATGCACGTGTCACATGTCAATACATGGATGTATGCTATGTCGTCAATGATAATAACATGTCGTAAATGACAAGTATTGTCAGTAAAAGACGCGAACCATGTCCGCAAAAGATGCATCAGTTTGTGAATGATCGAACAGAAACTCACAATCCTATCTACACCACATCGGGATACAACTCAACTCAACCCAACGCAGCACAGACATACCCGATACAATAGGAATGGCGCAGCAGGACGTGATCATGTTGCCCACCAAGAACAGCGCCAGCACCTGATCCGCAATCTCCAGACAAGCCAACGCAATCAACGGGATGTTAATCAGCAGCACCAGGATACGCGCGTACTTGATGTCCTTTCCGTTCAGGAACGTCGACACAACCACAGACGTCAGTCCGTTCTGATAGCTATCCACAGCCGACTCGCTCATAATGGCTGCGGCGATGAGGGTTAACAGACCCGCGGCGTTGTTCAGAGTGGTGTCCACGCCTCCGGTAAAGAGGGAGAACCAGTAAAGATTGGGATTGGTTTCCATGGTGATGTAGCCGGCCCTATAGTATAAGACGGACGACAGGGCAGTAGAAGTGTAGGATAAATAAGGTGCAACTGGATAGTGCAACTACAAGTAGCTGAGCAGGAAGTAAACGAACGATATATCACATATACAAGCATGAAATCTGAAGACCAAGTAGGTATTACAAAAGCCGGTCAGGTGACCCCTGCCTGCAGTACCTAACATACAGCAAGTCAACACGACACTCACTGAGAGAGAAAACTCTCGAGTGACTGAAAAGGACCGATTTGCACCCGTCAACCAATCCGAATACTCGAAGGACAAACACAGGCACCCTCAGAGCACGAGCACTAAAAGTCCAATGCCTATGCAGATAAAAACTGTGATAGAAGACTTACTAGGGTTCTAGGGTTTTAGGCTAAACCCACGCACATGCGCAAACAGGCAGCGCCAAGCAGTTGGAGAACACCTGAACGCCCACCGAACAAAGGATACTCATGTAACTAAAGTCTGAAGAAACACGTGCCACTCCCAACGACTAACATTAACTTATGACCATACTAGTCATATTTACGTACACCGTGGACGCCACTTGTCACGCTCAGAGTAGATGCATGTCATAGGGAATACTAACTCTGCCAAACGCTTACCGATAAGAACACTCGGAGGCAACATCGCAATGAAACTACACTCAACAGCAGAGGGCGTCCTCATTAAATCTCCCGACAAAGTAGTACAACACAAAACATGCGATTGGCACCTAAATACAACTACAGCCAGCCGCCGAGCACACGCGGAAACCAAGTTGTGACATATTCCCCACAATAAAACCCACATAGAAACATATACGACACAAACGTCGATAGAAACATACCAATTAGCCAGCCAACCGCCGAAGCCAAACAAGAACGTCACACAGCCCACCCCAACGGAGGCCACCCCTGCACCGAAATAAAGAGACTTTTTGGACTCTGACGCCCACACACGCTGCCACATGGCCTCGTTAAACACCGTCGCACACATCATCGACACAGGCATGGCCAGGATGGACGAGTACCCGTAGTAGGTGGTGCCTATCTGATCACTGGTCAGGGGAGTGGGTAGGTCCGCTCGGAAGTCTATAGCCAGGTATACTATCAGCGTAACTATCAGCACCAGACTGGCTATGGCCTGCACTCGGTCGGTGATGATGGACACATGCAGACCTCCCAGTGCGGTGTAGAACATCGTCAACACTCCAATGGTGATGATCACAGGCAGGTTAGTTGACCCCACATAGTCCTTGAAGAGAGAGCCGGTGGTAGCGTATTCGGCCAGTAGGGCCAGACCCATATTGAACATGCCGATCAAGATGACCATTGACTTTGCCACGTAGCCAAAGCGCCAGCCGACATAGTGGTGGAAACTCATGGCATGCGGCAACACCTTGACGACACTGTTGCCAAACACGGCAATGAAGAAGATAGGGAAACCAGCAGAGATAGCGTACATGGTACAGCCAATCAGACCCGAATACGAGGCGTAGTTGGCTGGCCCCGTAACCACCCACGACCCCACGGCACCTGCGTAGAAGCTGAAGGCAATGCGCCATTTGCCAACCGACCCACGGGCTGTGATGAAGTTCTCGGTGTCCAGAGTTTCTTTGCGCTGCTGCATGACGGAGATGACCACCGCATAGACCGCAAACAGGATCAGGCACGGGAAGACCGTGCCATAGGCCAAGGCAATCCAGTCAGTCATGTTTGAGAAGGAGTGGAGTTTGAGTGAAGTTAACAACGGTTGGGGCTAGATATTGTTTGGGATGTGTACCAAAAAAAGTAGAACAATATCGTATAGTTCGTTGTTGAAGGAGTCTAGTTGTTACTTGTTACTAAAATCAACAGACTGCTGGGGTGATCGATAGTGAACTGAATGTGTTGGAAGAGATGCGGATGGCTTGGTTATATGAGATCATACTACATATCATTTTCAGAGGGTCATTAATCTATTTTATATATTTTGTTGAAAAAAACATAGCCTCCGAAATTGAACAAAATAAAACCATTTGATAATTGTATTAAAAAAAATCAAGGGTTTTAGGGTTTACTGAACGGATGATGTGCCCGACAAAGGACAAAATCCAACAACGAATAAAAAATCAACGCATCCTAAAATGGAACATAGCCATCGGTTTGTTTTGTTTTAAAATAAAAAAATTATATATAACAAAAATACATGGCCCTCTGAAGAGGGTCTAGATTTGAGTCTGCGCTAGATATATTTAGGTCGTCGGAAGAAACCTGATTTCTGCTCGAGACCCAAATCCAGAGGGCCCCCACACCGACACAAGGCCACAACGTGAGCTCTCGCTTAGGCGCCGCGGTCAGACCAGTAATGGCCAGTTGAGCAGTGACCACTCTCAGACTCTCAGTCACTGAAGAGTGATGGCCACAGGTCACTCTCTCAGACTCTCGCTCACCAGTAACTTTGCTTGGTGGGGCTCAGACATCTGTCATGTTATCGACTCATGGAACACTAAAACTTCGTTTTTCATATCGCATCATCACATAGTGAGAAAACTTAGTTTGATTGTTTGTGGTATACTACAAAAACCAGAGGAGAAGCTTCAGCCCTATTTAAAAAAAAATGGTGGACGGCACCATCTGCCTGTCCAAAATTACAGAACAGGGCCGCATCTGTCTTCTGTATTTAGTTCTGAACACCACAATGGGAAACCTGGGTGAAAGTGGCAGAAGGCTAAATATAGCACTTGTCAGAATTCAAATATATACATATTCTAGTTACTCAGTTTAGGGCATAACACATGCACATCTTATCACAGCTAGCTCGAGAAGATGCAGTCCGTAGCCCTATCGACCACCGGACGCCATGCCGTGCGTGCCAAGGCAATCGCACCCGCCTTTGGTATGTGTACTGTTCTTTCAGTATGTTGTGGCTAGTGCATGCACATCAACGGCATAGCGTACAAACGCGGTGATACCCCCTTGTGTATGCATTTATGGTTGGACAAGGGAAGGCTACTGAATGTATTGTGTAGCCCATTTATCCCTCCAGAATGTTCGGCTGGCTCTCCAGTGTGCCTGTAGCTGTTGCGATCTCATGGTTTTTGTGTCTGCGTGTCATGTGTGTGTGTGTGCTGGTGTGGTTCTGGAGCTTCTACTATTTACCTAAGCCATTCGGTTAATACTTGCATAACATAGTTGCAGCATGGTGTATGTAACCATATATGACATACATAGGGCCATAGAGGCCATCCTACGCGCATACAAGTCTTCTAACTATTCTCTCATTGTAGTGCGAGTTTAAAATGTGTACACCTGAAACGCGTTACCACTATAGAACTAAACTATGAAATCAGAATATAACCAAGCGGGTTGCAAATAATCTTGGGTTCGGTATTTTCAATTAGATATCTTGTGCACGCGAGTCTATCCTTGCTACTGGTATGTAGCGTCGCATACACACAACAGGCGTTTCCAAACCAATTCTCAATTTTGCGAACGTTCCCGCAGAGATACAACGCCTTGTGAAGTCTATCGGAAAGTTATACTTGCGATGGCGGGGAGCGGGTTAGGCATACTGTACGATAGTTAGTACATATTACTTTACACAAAGGGTTTCAAGGTTAAGGGTTTACGAACACTGGGACATGCATGGAGACTCATGCCTTCTAACATCACACAGCTGCTGTGCGAGGGTACGCTATCCAGTCCGATCAGTATGACCAGACAATCAACAACCTGAAGATTGGCAACCACACCAAGCTACTGGTTCAGGGTTTCACCGGCAAAATGGTAGGTGGGCAAGGGACTTGGTTCTGAATTACCTGTGGTATTAGGTTGTGTGGGCGTGTTTGTTACTTCATGCATGCGTACATGCAGCCATTCATAAATGTACACGCTTGTGTATGTTGTTTGTTCTGATATCTGGGATGTCACAACTTGTAGAGCCTGCGATGCGATGGATTTATACGTATATACTTATGTCATTCTTATATAAGTGTTTTCGTATGTATGGAGTTGGCAGGGTGCGTATATCTATAATTATGCATACACGAACACGTATACAAATACAACCATTTTTATATATATGACAATTATGTAAAAGTATATATACATATATATATATGTGTACTCACAATGGACGTTTCGATACTTCTAGTTCGATTTGCCGAGTGGAATATACATACATGTATAACATAGTCTCTTATATATATCCATATATATATATATAGATCTGTATTCATGTATATATATACATATGCATGTATTCGCATGCTTATATTTATATATATATATTTGTAGGTAGCAATCGCTGGACGTGTGTGCATTCTATTGCAACTTCTTTGCAATGCTGTATGTTTACCGCTTCTTCTGCAACAGCCACAGCTGGTTACTTTATTAGTCGTCATCTGAAAGACTTCTGGTACAAACTCAATTGCTAGTTGTAACCTTTTGGATTATGTAGGGTTGCCCCCACATATCTTGTTCATAGTACTCGCACTTGCATTGCAACCTATTATCTTAGGTTGCTAAGTACCCTCGGATTCACACACTACATCGCTCCTGCTAAACCCTAAACCCTATCCCTCCCCACATGAACTCACATGGCTCTGATACACCACTCTCTCACTTCCGCTCACACATGACCTGTTGTCTGTCTGTGTGTGCTCAGGGCACCTTCCACTCCGAGCAAGCCATTGCCTACGGCACCAACGTAGTAGGAGGCACCAACCCTAAGAAGGCTGGCTCCACTCACCTGGGTCAACCCGTGTTTGCATCTGTGGCCGAGGTATGTATGCCTTCAGAGACACAGACTGCATGTGTACGGTTGCAGAAACCCTAACAACCCTGGACCAGGCACGTTCGGAAACCCTAAAAACCCTGGAACATGCACTCGCATTTAAGGGCCGTGTGTAGGGAGTGAGGGAAAGCCTGTTTACTATTGTTTGTTGTTGGAACTAGTGGTAGATACATGTATGGTTGAGATATGCAACTCTGATGAGTGGGTGAGAAAGTGATGTCATGCGTAGTGTATTGGCGAGTTGTATATGTATATATTATAAATATGCTAGTATATATCTATACATATTACAATTTAGTTATTGTGTACGTATATATATACATATACACTAATTAGTTATGAGTGTATATTTTATTATATAGTAGTATATATACCAATATATACTGATAGTTCATATCTTTACTTGTACACTATTTAGTAATCATATCAGTATATACATATATACTTGATAGTTATAGAAGTATATTATTTATATATCTATAAACAAATATATGTATATGTATATATTAATTTATACACACTAATTACTTCTACGAGTATTTATCATTTATATACACTAATTCGTTATATGAGTATATATTATACGTATACTAATACATACTTTTACGTGGTGTATTTAGTTATGATAGTATAAATTATACACGTACTACCTGTTTATTATATACCGATACACTAACGAGCTATATGATTATATTGTATTTATATTACTACATATCTACCAGTTAGTTATATGGGTCTATATTCTACATACATTATATATTTGCTCATCCTATATCGGTGTATAGTATGTAGTAGTAGTATATACCTATTCCGCAGCTGTCGATGTTTCGTCTTATCACATTTGCACACGCAACACGTCTGGGCAGAACGCACTGCCTTTCTCTGTGCTGTCGCTGAGCGTGAACGATGGTTGCCATGACAACGTATATCCGACTCGTGTGTGTTGTATTGGTATCCCCCTTGAGCGTGAGTGTTGTACTGTTTATTCTCCAGTTCATCTCTTTGCATTGCGTGTGTGTGTATATATTTGGTTGTTTAGGGTTTAAGGTTTTAGATATATACATATTTATATATATGTATGTAATGGTGTATGTATGTATGACTCTTTATGTTTGAATGTGCATTGCATATATCAATACACCTGTAAGGTATGATAATAAAGTACTTGGGATTGAATAGTGTCATTGGCTGCACATGTATACGAACCGATTGTTTCCCAAATGAGGACCGATCGGACCTGAAGTAGATGCGCTCTATTTCGGTTCTGGTTCGGTGTGGATGTCGATGTATATTATGTATTGATATATGTATATTTATATGCTTTTAATACTCACTATACACTTTACATACCCTAAAACCTTGTAAAACCGAACGACCATACCCATGTTGTTTATTTTTACCCACCTGTTCACTGCTGTGCCCTTAGGGTATTAAAGCGACTGGTGCCAATGCGTCGGTCATCTACGTGCCCCCTCCAGCGGCTGCCGCGGCCATTCTCGAGGCTGTGGAGGCTGAGGTTGGACTAGTGGTCTGCATCACTGAAGGTAAGGTTGGTTCTATCTATGCGATGGATGTTATCACTGATCACTAACAGTACGTTTGGTTCTGTTTATGCGATGGATGTTGTCACTAACAGGACGTTTGGTATGAGATTGGTATTGCCACTTGCAATACGTTCCGTTTTTATATGTGATTGATGCTATTACTTTAAATATACTTGGTTCTTGTTTCTCACAATCTGTGTGTTTCTATTGATGAGGTTGGCGATATTGCTATCAGTCTGTTAGTTATATCTTAATTGGGTATTGGTGTCCACATTATTAGAGCCTATCCCTGCTCCAACGAGTGTGTTTTTCTCATTTGCCACAGACTCACGCCAGTCCCTGTAAGATCTTGTTCATTCATAAGCAAACCACATGCTCACCTCTGTTAACCGTATCTCACTCTCTGCCACACAACTGTACTACCTACACATGTACTATAACACACACACACATATGTACCTCAGCAAAGCGTGTTATCATCACATGCTCAACCGTCTCTCTCTCTCTCTACCCCACAGGTCTTCCTCAGCAGGATATGGTGCGTGTTAAGCAGGCGCTACTGACACAGAACAAGACCCGTCTGGTAGGCCCCAACTGCCCCGGAGTCATCATGCCTGGCCAGTGCAAGATCGGCATTATGCCAGGCCACATCCACCAGGCCGGAAAGATCGGTAGGCGGCGGAGTGTTGTGTAGTTGTTGTCGTGGGTGTATGTGCGTACGTATGTATGGATGTATACATATATATATATATATATATATATTTGATTATATATATATATATATTGGTCGTATTTGTCACCAGACATGATGTATTGTGTGGAGAAAGATGTGCCACGTGCTCGACTTATATGCATATGTATAGATTTATGTTTATGAATGTGTATAGATTTATGTTTATGCATATGTACAGATTTATGTTTATGAATGTGTATAGATTTATGTTTATGCATATGTACAGACTTATGTTTTTGCATACGTGTAGGTCTATGTATAGATTTATGTTTGTGCATATGTGTAGGTTTTTTTTATGTATATGTATTTTAAAACCCTACCAGCGTGTACGGACACCTACTGTATCCGACCTGAAGCACACCCATAGGGTATTACAGGGTTCTACCTATCAAATACCTACCACTCCTCTCACACATCTCCATACCTACCACTCCCAGGTGTCGTGTCCAGATCCGGTACGCTCACGTACGAGGCAGTGGCCCAGACCACAGCCACCAACCTAGGCCAGACCCTGTGTGTAGGTATCGGCGGCGACCCTTTCAACGGCACCAACTTCATCGACTGTCTCAAGGTGTTCCTGGAAGATGACCAGACCGAGGGTGTGATCATGATCGGTGAGATTGGTGGGTCGGCTGAGGAGGAGGCGTCTGAGTACATCAAGGAGTTCAACCTGTCACGCAAGAACCCTAAGCCTATTGTCTCGTTTATCGCCGGCCGCACGGCCCCTCCCGGACGACGAATGGGTATGTGGTGGTTGTTGGATGGGGAGTGAGTGTGTGTGCGTAGGTGTGTTGTGGATGGTTTGGGTGTGTCTGTATACGGTGTGGTCCGTTGAAGCGGGCTGAGTATGCATATGTGTGTTGCAATGTATCGTGTCAGGGAAGGTATTCTTGCTCAAGCGTGTACGTGTGTATATTGTATATGATCCAGATTCGTCTGTATGTGACATGTTCCGTTGAACTGTACTACATACACTAGGTATATGTGTACAGTGGATGAGGCTACATGTCGAAGTGCTTCATGCATGTGCACATCTATCTGCTATATAGCACGACACTATGTATGGCATACACCCTGCATCTTAGAAGCCACATCTCTCAGTTGTTGTGCATTAGAACATATGTACATACACGGGGCATATGTGTACAGTGGATGAGGCTCCAAGTCGAAGTGCTTCATGCATGTGCACATCTATCTGCTATATAGTACGACACTATGTATGGCATACACCCTGCATCTTAGCAGCCACATCTCTCAGTTGTTGTGCATTAGAACATATGAAGTTCGTATCACTCTGACCATATCGCATGTAACAGTTTAAGATGTCTCAGTATCACACTGGTACCAAATGCCACTATATGCATAGATATATATATGTATTATATTATGCTCATCATATATCTTCCATCTCATTCTATCCCACCGAACACTATCGTCCGTACACCTCCACCGCCTCCAACCCAATCGCCACTCATCCCATGTTTCTATTATGTTGTTCCTATCACATACCTTGTGCACACACAGGACATGCTGGTGCCATTGTGTCGGGTGGTAAGGGTGGTGCTGATGACAAGATCAAGGCTCTGCGAGACGCAGGTGTGGTGGTAGTGGACTCGCCGGCCAAGATGGGCGTCACTCTACTGGAGCAGATGAAGAACCTTGGACTGGCTTAAGCAACACGCACAGGCCACAGAAGTAGTTTAGTAGCGTAGTCAATCGCATTAAAGCAATACCGTCACTCCGTTATCTTATGCGGGTTAAAGTTGGATGATAGTTGTCAGGTTGCGTTTCATTTACGTTACAAAGCACCACAGATGTGTACAGAGATATATATATATATATAATACAAATATAGATTTGTATTCTATATATTATATACATATTAATAGATATCAATAATAGGGTACAATGTATCAGGTACTACAGTGTCAGACATAGTGGACAAGTACTTATATATATATATATATATATATACGAGAAAGAAGTGATTCTAACTGAGGTTCCTTGTTTTTATCCCTAGTTGTCCTTTCTTTATTATGTATTCTATATGTATGTATATATATAATATATGTATATATATATATATATATATACATATATATATATATATACGAGAAGGAAGTGATTCTAACTGAGGTTCATTGTTATTATCCCAGTTGCCTTTCTTTATATGTATTCTGAGTTTTGTTTCTTGTATGTATTCTAAGTGTCATTTATGGCGTACATCCTGAGTGACAGTACATTTCCATGCATAAATAGTTATCTAACTAATCTAAATGCCTTTCCTCTATATTAATCTAACTGACATTTTTCACATGCATTCGAAGTGCCATTCCTTATATGTATTCTAACTTTCAACCCTTGTGTGTATTCTAAGTGACACGGCTTGCATGTGACCTATTTTAAGTAGCATTCCCTATATGTATTCTAACTTTCAACCCTTGTGTGCATTCCAAGTGACATGGCTTGCATGTAACCTATTCTAAGTAGCATTCCTTATATGTATTCTAACTTTCAACCCTTGTGTGTATTCTAAGTGACATGACTGGCATGTAACATATTCTAAGTCGCAAGCCTTTACGTGTCTTCTATCGTACTGAAGTTCTCATTTTAATCTGAAGTGCCATTCCTTATAACTATCCTAAGTGCCATTTATTCATGTAATCCAAGTACCTTTTTTTATACACATTCTACTTAAAATTCCTTTGATATATTTATCCTCTTATTCCTTAGAATTCCTGAATTATAACCTATGCGCCATTCAATACCTGTATTCTAGGTGTGCTCTTTTAAATGGATTTTAAGTGGCATTCTTTATATGTATTCTGAGTGCCATCTCTTACTTGTAATCTAAGCGCCATTCCTTATGTGTATTGTATGTGCCATTCCGTATATTTATCCCAAGTGCCATTTTTCCTATGTAGTCTATATGCCAAAGCGCCAGTCCTTGTAACTATCCCAGTTGTCATTCCTTATTTTATCTTAAGTGCCATTCCTTATTTGTACTCTAATTGACATTCCTGACATGTAAACGAAGTGTTATTCTTTATATGTATTCTATAAATACCATTCCTTATGTGTATTCTAAGTGCCATTCCTTATATGTAATCTAATTTCATGGTAGTGGACAGCACGGGACGTATCTCTCAATTCTAGGAGTTTATTGATATGTAATCTAAGTGACATTCCTATTGTATAATATAATTGCCATTTCTTATTTATATTCTAGCTGACATCTTGTGGTTAACCGATGTGTCATTCCTTTTATTCAACCTCAATTGAAGTGAATTTCTTACATACATTTTAAGTACTATTCGTTGTTTGTGATCTGAGTACCATTCTTCATATGTATTATAACTTTCATATTCTACATATATTTTACATATATTCCATTTATGTATTGCATGTGCCTCTACCAATTTGTATTCGAAGTCTGAGTGCCATTCCGTACATTTATCCTAGCTGACATTCGATATACTTCTCCTGAGAACTGTTCCATATATTATGCATGTATTCTAAGTGCCGTACCTTATATGTCTTTTTTAAGTGCCCTTCTATGTATGTATTCTAAGTAAAATCGATTATATATAATATAGGCATCATTCCTTATTTGTATTCTAGATGACATTCCTTATGTCAAACCTGAGAGCCATTCCTTATATGTATGCTAACTAATATTTGTTATACTCATCCCAAATGCCATTCCTTATATGTATGCCAACTAATATTTGTCATATTCATCCCAAGTGCCATTCCTTATATGTATGCTAACTAATATTTGTTATATTCATCCCAAGTGCCATTCCTTATATGCAATCTAAGTACTATTCCTTACTCGTATTCCAACTTGCATTCCATGTATATATTTTAAGTGCCATTCCTTACATGTGATCCAATATACGTTCTATACATTCATGCTAAATGACACTCCTAATGTGTTTTCTAAGGCCCATTTCTTTAATGTGTTTTACTTATACTCGCTCTGAATGCAATTTTATATATATATAAAAGACCAATTATATTTAAATTTATATATTTAAATTTATTTACTTTATAATACATATTTTTAAAATCGGAGTGATACAATCAGGGTAAGATCTATGGACTCCATCTCGACCCTGGCAACCTACTAGTTGCGCTACAAACGATTGCTATCTATAACAATCTCTGCTTTCAGGGTTCAAGGTTTTAGACTATGCTTTCTACTAACGTAACTGTGCGCCAACTGAACCATCTCTCCAGACACCATTCCTTTGCTGTTCCTTTGCTGTGCTCAAATGAATCCTCGTCGCTCTGTTAGTCTGTACTAACGCAACAGAACGATACATCCAATCGCGCCACACAGACACCGCCACATCTCCGTCACCCTAATAAACCTGGTTTATACCCGTGAAAACCCCTGGGTTGCACCCGCCGAGTTGATACCGCGAGCGATACTCTATACAGCACCCCTGCTTACAAATTATCAAACCTCTCGTCATCAGCCGCCTTCCTCTCCACCAGCGCCACTTTCTTAGCCGCCTCCGCCTCAGAGAACGCCAGCAGCAACGCACCGACTGTAAAGGCCTGGGCACCCACACGTCCCCTCTGAAAGTACTGAGTGTACAGGTGATTGCCCTGGCGGAACGAGACAAAGGCCCCCGCCAAACAGCCGCCCGTCAGAGCCACCCCTGTGAATGGCCACGGCAGCACACGGCAGCACACAGCACAGCGACGGGTGGGTGGGGGTGGATGGGATGGGGTGGTGAGTGTGCGTGGCAGTAGGTATGCGCTTGCATGGTGACTATCATTGTTAGATTGAATGAGACTGGCGGATACGTACCGTGAGACAGCGGTGAGATGTAAGGGGCGTGTGGACACGCGAGGCAAAGCAGAGCGACACTCATCAAAGCAGAATACGTAACGAAGGCTTAGCGCTGGTGCAGAACAAAGGCGGACCAAGCAGCAGAGGGAAAAGGCTACAAGAGAGAGGTTCAAACGATAGCTAACAACCTTGGATCAAACACACCAATGAAATCACCGACAAGTAACACCCCGAATGAAAAATGGCGCGAAGAAATCTCGTGTGGGAAGGTGGAGATAAAATGTTACTGCAAAAGGTTATTTATATATATATACATACATACATACAAAATATATCTATATATATATATATATATATATATATATATACGAGTATTTACCCAAGTGTACATATTCTTCAAAATAAGCCACGAGTAATAAAAACCAAATAGATCATACATGCAGTCACACAAAAACAATAAAATTGTAGATTAAAGTATATATATATTATATATATATA